TACATGTTATGACTGCAATCACAGCTCAGCCAGTTTCATCTATTGGTGCAGTAGTCATTGGTCTAGACTGCATCCCATAAATTGCTTAGGGTGCTGCACAGACACTCATGAGGAGATTAAGTCCACGCAACTCCATTAGATAAGTCACTGTCTCTGCTGTCAATTCAGTTTTACTTTATACAAATATTTGATCATTCAGATTTTGTATTGGGCTAGTGAATTATCAGGATCCTGTGAGCCAGTGTGGGAACACTCACCTGGGGTGCTTCCACCCATGTGGGGATGGAACTTGGACTTGAACCACTGACATATCCAATGAGTATCTAAATTAGAGGAATACTCTCTAAATTGCTAATGGAAATAAGTCTGTAGGCTTTGATTTCAATAATTTACATTTACCAGTTTTACAACAGAGAAATCTCCAGACTTCTTATGCAGTATTTGGCATGTTCCAGTTGGTGAAAGATTATGTTCAATGTAGTCAGGCTTTATATGAATTCTGTCAGTGATTTCACATTTGCTCATTTGTGTATGAGTGAAAGGAAGAAGGATAATGCTGTGAATTTTAGGAACCACATGTCTTTTTTTGTTTTCCTTAAATGCACTATTGGTACACATCTCAGATGTGCCATCTATGTAACAGAAAACAGGGCTTTGATGGGTATGTAGTTCCATAATTATCAGAAAAAAGGAAGAAAAAAAAGGAAAACAAAACATAACAGTAAAACCTTATAAGCATTATTACAGTCAGCAAATAGAATTCCAAATAACCACTAGGAACAGAACATGTGGAAGTCATCTTTTCAGTCATTCTTGGGATAAAAATGACATTTTAAAACATTAGGGTGTATAGAAGTCCTAAATGTTTTCATTTCTCTGAAATGTTATCTTTAATGGGACTTTAAGCATGCTATTATTTAACTCACACATTTCACTCAAACTTCCTTCAGATTTTATTGCAATGCTGTAAAATAGCCCTAGAAAACTCAGATCAAAAGAACCTTGACCTGTTTCCTATTTAATCAGGATGTTTAAAAGAATAAACTTATCTCTTGTGGTTTTTATGCAGGTTAGCCTAACAGATAAATCTGCACTTTTTGCTATGCCCAATTGTAGGAAAATCATTTCAATAATAACAGTCTCTGCAAATGCTTGGGGCAAAAAAGAAAGTAACCACTTTTTCACAGAAAAAGCTTTTCACTCAAAAAAATTCAAACATTTATGAAACGTAATGCATGAATCCAATGAAAGAGTCTAATGTCCTTTTTAGCTTGCCTCAATACATTGTCTAAATTTTGTGGCTTTAGGAGATTTAGTAAATCATTTAATAGACCTTTTTCAATATTTAAAGTGAATGTAATGATGCAGAAAGATTTTAAGAAATAGTGCTGTAAATTGAAAATATCTAGTTATTGTGGAACAGTTCCAATCTGCCATTCAGGGTACTCCTGGTGGCTTCATCACAGTGTTTCAGTGCAGCCCCCAGAAGACCCAGGAGCAGTTCAAGTCCTCAAGCCTTTTTAGCCTTTTTTCTCTCTGCCAAGTATACCAGTGAGGCAACATATAGGACTGTGAAAAATTTGTGTAACATATTGGACCAGAGGTCTCCAAAGCCCTCAGCACAGTCAACCGACATAAATGACTTCTTATCATTCACGTAAGCAGCAACTATAACTCAAATGTGAAAGGTTTCTGTTTTAAAAGACTGCAATTACACAGCTCCTGACAAAGCTATTGGATTGGGGACCAATTTAAATGCAGTGAACGGGGAAAAAAACCCAAAGATAAATAGTGACAGTAGATCACAGCCTGAAAACCTTTGATTTTATATTTATATTTCTTTTCAGCTGAATCCCCATGACAACCATCATTAACACATCCTGCAAAACTGTATTTCAACTCTACTTGGAAAACCAGCCGAGCTATCCTAAAGACCCACAAGACAGAGGCGTTTAGTCCTCTGTCCCTTTCCAGCCAACACTCTCCAACATAGTCGCAACAAGCCCAAGGAGCCAGGAGCTTGGAATTATATGTGATGATCTTCTCCCTCTACCCCTCTTTGTATGCCGGAGTAGTGATTCCCTCCAGGATTTCAGTATGGGAACTAAAACTGCTAAAGGGACAGACGGGATCACACACTGTCCTCTTTAAACACCTGTCTTCAAGGCAGCTGCCTACAGAGAGCAGTACTCGAAAGAGGGAACCAAACGCTAATGAAGAGCAGTTGTCCAAGGAATCCGGCGTTCTTGAATGCACCCAGAAAGTCTAACAGCTCACATTCATTTTCTGACATTTTCTGTGTTTCCACCCTTCTGTGTTTCTTCCTAGTCCAAACAGCTTCCCCTCCCCAGGATGGGGGTGCATCCATGCTGCAAACAAAAGTTTACCTGCCTCATGTGGTATCCATGTTTTATAGAAAGAGCAAGCGTACGTGGGAAGAGGTTTCAGGGCAGTCTACCCAAGCCTGCTGAGACCACTGGGGCCCTAACTTCACCACTCCCAGTACCTCAGCTAGCTGATCGAAAGCTAATTTGGATTTGCCTGTGTGGTCTGGTTTGCTTTCAGTGCAGGAGAAGCTTGACTCTCGGGGTGTCTGATCAGCTGTTGCTGACCCTTCTCGACATTTTATTATTTTTTCTTTTGAGCTGTGGCTTTCACAACTTATTTTACATTGAAGGAGCTACTGTCTGCAAATGTCACCACAAGTGTCCTATATCTCCTCCCCCAATCTGCCTCATGTGCAAGAACCAGAGGAGCTTGAAGGCAAATTAAATCAGAGCGACAGAAACATCCAGAGCTTTGGAGGTGCCTGAAGACAGACTTCACCAAGAACACGATGTCAGCTGAGGTTACCTACCCAAATCCGGGACAACGCACATTCCCATACAAATCCCACCCACTCCCTATTTTCTCCATCTCCATTAGAAAAAAAAGGTTAGGTCCAGCACCCTGTTGCTATGCTACAGTTGCCAGTGTCTGGTTGACTGCGGTTTCCACACAGCTGCAAACAAAACACGCTCATTTCTCACAGGAATGAAACTGGTTGGGCAGAGCTACAGGCAGCTAGCGTGCCCCAGTTGCTTCGACCTCAGCCCCGCTCCTCCACCACCACCCATGTTTCACTTTAGCCCCGAAGAGGGGCTGTCACGGGAAGCCTCGGGCACATGAGGAGCAGGACTCCTCCTCTTTCAACACAACTATGAACTTCAGATCGTCATCTTGGATGGCCCGTTGGGACCAAGGATTGACTCCACTGAAGGCAGTGGAAGTGCAGACAGTATTAAAGCCAGTAAAAACAAATATCAAGCAAGCCAGTGAATATGTCACTGCTACTTCTGCTTTATCAATCTAGAGGTGAAAATACTTGTGAAAACACAATGGGTCTGATTCATCTCAGATATGACTCTGAGCATGGCTCTGGTCTCATCAATTTAAATAAGCAGATCTTAGCAAAGGACACCTCCTCTCCTTCCCACACCCCCTAGTTACTGCCATTCTGCAAACGTTGCCTGAATCTACAATCATGCAGAGGCTGCAGTTTAAGTTGTCCAAAGAAACCTCAGGTTTTTAATGCAAAATAGTGTGCAAAAGTCAGCAGAAGTTGAAAGCAAAGAGGTGCTACCAGCTAGCATGTTTACAAGAACTGTGATAGGTGAGAAGTCAGGGCTGACATAAGGCCACAGTATTTTGAAGCCATATGAGCTCTTTAGAATATGTGAAATAAACTGGAATGAGGCTGCCACTCGTTCTTCAGCCTTGCTCATTTTGGGTCATCAGTGACAGCAGGAGAGTAGGCATGAACCAAATGGCGAATGCTGTCTAGTAGCACTGGGATCAGCATGACCATGGCTTCTCTGGATCACGAGAGGGGAATTTAGCCAGGCCACAACAAGTAAAGGAACTGGATGACTTTCCTCCTCTCCCCCACCACCCTTCTCCTCCTCGAATGCAAAATTTGCCTAGTCTTGCCTCATTTTATTGCCTCCCAACTTCATGTCAGCCAGCCAGCTCACCTTTCTTAACACTGCTTGCCCAGAAGTATAACTCCAAGCAGTGATTTAGAATAGTCAATGCTAATAAGGGTTTGCAGGGTATTAATGCAGCTGATGAGTATACCTGCCAGGCCATGTCTTTCAAGCAGAAATATTGCAAGCATTGGAAAAACAAAGCCTTTTTTTTTTTTCTTCTTTTCTTTCTTTCTCTTTCTCTCATGCATGTATTTGACTTGGTCTTGAAAGGAAGCTAAATCAGACTACCACAACACCATAAAAAACAACAGCCCAAGACCAGCAGAGTTGTTTTCACTTTTCCCCAAAAAAAGAATAGCTAATACCATCTTTAAATGCCATTTAAGAAAGGTTAAAGTTTTTATTCTGTTAAAAAAAAAACCCAACACTATACCCACAACTGAAGGGAGAATGTGAAATACTCTTTACCTGAGTAAAGTTTTGTTTAGGATTTTGTTTTGTTTTTTAATGGTTTAAACTATTTTATTTTTTGCTTGAATGAAACAGCAAGATTTTTAATGGGGATTACTGCAATAGAAATAAACAAGTGGAAACAATCCAGATTGCATTTAAATTCTTAAAATCGTCTAAGAATTAATAACGGTTTCTTTAATCTTTCGTCCTTTGCTGGGCCTGGGAGATGTTGATTTCCAGAGCAGCCCATTTGCATTTAGGAAACCTGATGCCCATCCACAATTCCACACTGAAGCTTCTCAGTTTCAACCTATGTTTTGGCTGGCGTCCCCTAATCCTCTGCACACCCCAATTCTGGGCTCTGGCAGTCCATCATTTGAATGTGATAGGAACTTTTTTAGAGGTAGCAGTGCAAGAGAGCAAAGTGAAGAGAATAATTATGTCTGAATCTTCCTAGGATGGGCAAGACACCATCTCTGCCTGATCAAGCCGAGCTGTAGCAAACAGCCTGGAGTAAAGCCAGCTGTTCCCTAGGACTCACTGCTGCTTTGCACTCAGTCACAACCTTTCATTAAAAGGGTTACACTGGATTTCTCACTATGTCTTCCTGCCCACCCACCCTTTTTCATTTCTTAATTCCTAGTTCTTCAGTTGATTACAGGAATTCAGGGCCTGCCGTTCTTCGTCTCAAACTCACACTGTAAGTGGAGTAGGCTATTTGGGCTGGATCAACAGGAAGAGAAATGCTATCTATACGGGCTGTCCTGAGGACAGCTCATCCTCTGAACAGAAATCTGGACCTTGAATTCAAAGCACTGTGTCCTCCTGCAGATTTGACTTTTAGCATTGACTCATCAGAGCAGGAAGTTAAAATTTGACAGAACATGAGAACCTGTAGTTACAATGATCTGGATGAGACATCAGCAAGACGAGGAGTGAAAACATCACCGACTGACAGTGGTCATACCTGCAACCCTACCAGTGCAAACTGGGGAAAAAAGAAAGGAAAAAAAAGGAGGGGAAAAAAAAACAAACAAAAAAGCAAACAAATAAACAGATTAATCTCGGCGTGGAAGGGAATGGAGGGAGGAGCAAGAGAGAGACTCCTGAAAATTAAACTAATTAGAAGTGAAGAAGCATTCCTGTTTTGAGTCTTGATAGTGAGTGTCTGCAAACTGCCTAACCCAGGAAAACCTTTCCCAAATTCAAATGCCACCAATGCCTGCAAAGAGCAGCTCTTTAAAGGACAGAACAGACAGCAAGTTAACATTTCACAAGTACTTACTGAACTAGAAAACACAGTTTTCTGCATGTTTCACATTTGCATAGACACTTCCCAGATTATAAGAAATGCCAGGGCTGAGAAATAAACCCAGTCTTTTGTATGTCTCCAGGGTGCATTTAAATTGTGACCCCAGCTCCCTTTCTCTCTGTGCCAGCAGATGCTGCTTGCCCGGCACCCAGAGCTGGATGGACGCTGTACTCACCAGCTGACTGCTGTACCAATACAGCGATGACTCCTTCAGCACACACCAGAACTTTTTCCATTTGTTGCCAATGAAAGCTCCTTTTTCTTTCTTTTTGTAGAGCCATCCTTGGCAATCAGCTTGCCCCAGCTCTTTACACGATATCCTCCGTCGGCTCATTATAAAGAACCCTGTGCCATTAAAAATACAGTATTCTGCTTATTTAAAAGTGCATTACCAGGAAAGATGTTGCTACCAATTAAAGATATCAACCTTACTTAGCAATCTCGGCGAGTCATCCAAGCATATCTTAAAATATAGTTAGAAGTTGTTCAGTTTTATAATGGCTATGACAGTAACACACATTCATTTGAAAGGCATTCTGATGTGCAAAAACAAAATAGTAAGCTATAGATAATGCAGACACTAATTAATGCTAAGATAACCATACATGAGTTTTTGTAAATTAAAACTATATCCTTTGATCCTTTTAAGAGAAGCATGCATATATTTCCCTTCACACAGCTGCACTGGAAAGAATACATCTATTTAAGTCAGCTAGAGAAAACTATTATGCCAAGTACATGAAAAACGCTAGTGTGTGTGTGTATGGGTATGCGCATGCAGCTCATTCTACCTCACTGATTTCCAGCTTTGATTCAATTAACATACCACAAGGATTTAGTCCAAAGGAACAGCCCGTTGTCATTTTTCTCAGAATCGGTGCAAAAATCAGTGGAGTTAAAAAGCAGCCTTCCACCAGCTGAGTAGCAGTATAAAATCCTCACCCTCCCAAGAATAAGGCATACTAAGAAAATAACAAAAGAAGAATCCAGAAGAGAAAAGAAAAAACAATCTCTCATTACCTTGACTTTTCTTTTTTGTCTTCTGACGCAAGGGAACCTGCAAGAAATGCAGGAAGGAAAGAAAAGAGGAAATTTCAGATTGTGTTGCAACATTTGTGTAGAAAGGGGAGGGGGAAGCTAGAGAAGGACGTGGTGGTGATGCTGGTGGTATATGCAGGATGGAAACACATAACCCACTCGCTGCTGAAGGGACGTTAGTAGCTGAAGCATAAAACGTGTTAATTAAAATTGATGTATATCTAGTTGAGCAAGAGCAAACGTAACTCTATTATACATGTGTCTATCTACTAGCGCTTCCTGTTTCACACCCACAGGCAGCTTCCACTTTGCTATGTGTTTGCCTGACTTGTATTCTGTGTTCAGAAGTTAAAAAATAGAAGTTAGAAGCATTTTAATGCTTTGTTACGCTCCACGAGGGAGATTTACAAACGTGGGGAGATTAAAAATACATGCCAGGTGTTTGATTGTCCTTTAGCTCATTCTAAGCAATCCTGAAAAAAAGAAAAAAATTGGATTTTCCACTCCTCTCTTTTTTTTATTTAGTGCAGAGAATGTATTTCCCCCTATGTAAGAGTTTCATAATATTTTTCTTTAAAAAAAAAACCACCAAAAAAACCACACACACACGCAAACCTGGCAGATTATTCAAACTGTAAAACATAAATATGCCAGAAGTTTGCCATGCCATATATGAGAGTTTTAGTCACTGCAAAAATAACACAATTGATTTCTATTTACTCATTTGCAGTCTATATATTTCATCCCACATAAACACATAGAAAATGAAACTAAAACAGAAGACCACGGACCGAAAAAGAGGTCATTAGAAAGGTAAAGTCTGGCTTTTGGAGTAAATTCTCCCCAGACAGGCTGGTTGGTTGTGCGATTGTGGACAAAGCACTTGACTTCTCTTTGCCTCAACCTTTCCATCTGAAGCATGGGAACAAAAGCATTCACCTTTTTCTATTTTTAGGAAGGTTTTGAAGCCTCCGGATGACAAATGCTGGATAAGGTGACGTATGATTTAATATGCTTGGCCACAACGTTGCTATGCAAAGCCAGTAGCTACCTGATCCGCTGCAGAGCTACGCTGTGAACATCCCTAATGCAGCCCCTATGCCTAGCCAGCTGGCTTTTCAGGAAAACAAAACCCCATTTCATATCATTCTTGAAGGATTTGATGGCTTTTCTCACAAGCAAATTAAAGGTGAGTAAAGCTACACCATCTGGAAACAGAAGAGACCACTGCCATAAGTATTTACAAGTGCTAGAACTTTCTCTAACCAGTGATCTTTGTAGCATGTATCACAGAGTGCAGAACCGCATATTGCAGTTGTGCTCTTATCTGGTGCCTATTTGAGATGACCTGAACAACTCATTTGTGGGAGGCTTCACCCGGAATGAATAATCCCAGACTCCTGCTTAATCATCACGTATTATTTTTTCCTTTTTTTCTTTTTCTTTTTTTTTTTTTAAATTCTACCACTGCCTGCCTCTCTCTCAGAATATTCTCCATGACAACAGACAAAGAAAAGCAATGAGAAAACACAACGGCTCTATTGGAGGCTCCGCTATTTCCCCATCCTATATGGGCCACCTTTTGTGTCTTCATTCCAAAGAAAGCAACGCCCTATTTAGGACGTGTGGACACAATATATGGCCTCAGTGAATCAATGGGTCATGCAGTCACACTAATTACTTTCCTTTAGAGCTACCCAAAGTGATATTAAGAAAAACAAATAGGAATCAGCTCTCCTTGCACAAAAACCGTGTAGTGGGGCAACGTCACATCTTTGCCATGATACTACAGTGGGGTCATTTCATCTTTAACCAACATAAAGTTGTACGACAAGAGCAGCAACACTGAGACAGGATGTGGCTCTCTGTAAACAACTGAGGAAGAAGTAGATCTTTCCACTAACCTTATTGATGGCCTAACACAAAATAACATGTTCTATGGCTCATCTGTCAAGAAAGGGTTAATATCCATATTATGTAAATCATCTGTTAGGGTCCACTTTATATACAGACTAAGGAAAAAACTGATTACCTAGTAAGAGTTCGGGGTAGCAAAAAGAACTTACAAGTGTGCATTTATTATTCAGCAGCAATGATGGTATCCTGCTGCAAGTTGACAGGGGTGATGGATCCCCATCTCTTCATATTTTGTGGGAGGAGTCGGGAAATTAACGGGGGAAGGAAGGGCAGTTTCCCCAGCCACCACTGCATTTAGTTTGCCTGGATAAAATCAATGATAAATCTGTAATAAAATCATTGCTGAGTGAGATTTCCTGAATTAAGATACATTTCTGGTTTTCTTTCCCAGTATTCCTGAAAGCTGAAATAAATTTTCAACAGATTGATCCTAAACCTGGAATTCAGCAACTTTTAAATGTTTTTAGTGCTGTTCAGAAGCCCAGCATCATCTTATAAAATATATCTGTTCTGTTCTGCACAAGAGAAACCTCTAATCCCAGCAATGCAATCCGGTGTTATTCACAAAATTGCCTTCCCAAATTTTGTTGATTTATGAACAAACAAAAGCAACCTCTTCCTCTAAAGCACCAGTGTTTGGAGTCAGACAGATATTTTATGAAATAAACAAACAGTTTTCAGTAAAACTGAAAAAAATTATCTTAAACCAATAGAAAACCTATATTTAACTGAATCTACCACAAAATTCATAAAATGCCTCACCAGCAGGATTTGGATTCAGTTTTCCACGAGAATACAACACATTACCAAGTCTCCAGAGGCAAACCTTTCCTCAAGAAGTAAATTAAAGTTTCTGCCTCTGAAAACTGGCCTATGAGAGTCAACAGTCTTTCATTTCAGTGAACCTGGGTGAACATTGATTAAGAGATAGTTTTAAGTTTCACTCCTAGTAGGAGACATTAACACCAGTGCAGAACAAAGAGAAAACTGTGGAAGGAAGAGTTATTGCCAGTAAAACCAATGGTACCGACCAGGGGCGTAACAGCAGCTTCAGATGTGAATGTACTGTAACTACCAGACATAGTCACTGGAACAATCTGAAACTGAACCAAACGTCATGATTTTACTATGCTTCTGGCCATGGTGGATGTTTCTCTATAAATCTCAATTTCCTGATGGCAAATTATTTATTTCATTATCACAGGTTCAACTGAAAAACAAGCCAAAAAAATCAGATCTATTTCTAGCTTTTCTTGTTACCAGGGAAAATCTGAGAGCAATAATCCTCAGAAAGCTCTGAAAATGTTACAGTTAATTTGCAGCTTTAGGAGGGTCATCATTTTTGTGCAAGGCTGGCAATACAAGGTAGCTTTTAATCTTTTTTGGTAGGTTTTGGTTTACTCATCAGTTTACTGAGACCTGAGGACTGAACAGGATGGGCTAGTGATCCTGCAGGACAATGCAGGCTTCAAGCTTGCTATCCATTACTCCTCCACTTGGCAAATACACCCATGAGCCAGTTGCAAAGGGAGCTGTACAACTGAGTGTTGTTCACAGCCACTTCTGTGCCAGGCAGGCTCCACCGATGACCAAAGAAGTGACACTCCAAGAAGTGACAACTTCAGTGAAAGACTTCTGTCAGTTTAGAGATTCTATTTTTCCACAGAATCACAGTATGGTTGAGGTTGGGAGGGACTTCTGGAGGTCGTCTAGTCCAACCCTCCCACTCAAGCAAGGCCACCTACAGCCAGTTGTCCAGGACCATGTCCAGACAGCTTTTGAGTATCTCCAAGGATGGGGACCCCAGAGCCTCTCTGGACAACCTGTGCCAGTGCTCAGTCACCCTCACAATACAAAAGTGTTTCCTGACGTTCAGAGGGAACCTCCTGTGTTTCAGTTTGTGCCCATTGCTTCTGGTCCTGTCACTGGGCACCGCTGAAAAAAACCTGGCTCCACCATCTTTGCACCCTGCCTTCAGGTATTTACATGCATTAATAAGATCCCCCTGAGCCTGTTCTCCAAGCTAAACAGTCCCAGCTCACTCAGTCTTTCCTCATATATTAGATGCTCCAGTCCCTTAATCATCCTTGTGGCCCTTCATTGGACTCTCTCCAGTATGTCCCTGTCTCTCTTGTACTGGGGAGCCCAGAACTGGACACAGTGCTCCAGGTGTGGCCTCATCAGCACTGAGTAAAGGGGAAGGATCACCTCTCTTGATCTGCCGGCAATACTTTGTTTAATGCAGCCAAGGATACTATTTGCCTTCTTTGCAGCAAGGGCACGTTGCTGGCTCACGTTCAACTTGATGTCCACCAAGACTCCCAGGTTCTTTTCTGCAAAGCTGCTTTCCAGCTGGGTGGCCCCCAACATATACTGGTTTCCTCTGGCAGTATCATTTGTGCTCACATGGAATAACAGTAGGGGGTGGAAGTCAGAGGGCTGGACAGGCTTTGGCAGTCCCTCCACAACATCCTGGACACTGGCCCCTGCCAGGCAGCAAACCTCTCTAGATGGTCAGTCGGGCCTACAGATGGGTGCCTCTGTCACCCACAGCAGGGAATCACCCATTGTGATGACTCACCGTTTCTTCCTGGTAGCCTTGCATGGTTTACAGTTAGGTGAACCAGGTCCTTTGCGAGTAGGCACATCTGGCTTCTCTTCAATTTTTAGGGCAGTCAACCTATTTTGCAGTTACAAGTTCTTAGGTGGGGCAGGAGCCTTCCTCTTGGTACTAGAAGTCATCAACTTCCATCCTTCCCCTTCACCAGAGGTTTTGCTTACTTTGATAGTGGGGGTAGACACTGCTTGCTTCTCCATTGCAGGTGGGGACTGCGGTTCTTCAAGCTGTTGTGTCTCAGAGAAGAGCCTGTCTATCTCCCTTTCATTTTCTCTGATGCTGCACAGCCTTCTCACTTCCTCCCCTATCTGCTCCACTTGCCAGCACAGCTCCTCCAAGACAGCGCACCTCCTGCAGGGCTGAGGGCCATCTCTCCTGGCCCCAGAGAGAGGTCCCAGGCACTTCCTGCAGTCTGAGACTTGGAAGGCTGCATCTGCCATCTGAAGCTCAGTCTGTGTGGAAGTCTTTGCCCTAGCAGAGACAGCTGCTCCCATGTCTATTGGGGAAACTGCCCTGTTACCACCATGTCTAAGACTGTTATAGCAGCACAATTTCAACTGAGGCCCCTTTACTTCACTCCTCCTTCACACCCCACTGCACAAACTGCTGGGTCTGTTGGCTGTGCTCTGGGCCTGGCTCTTAGATAGGTCCCTCCTGAGCACCAGTTAAAGGGTGCTTGACCCTCCCTAATCAGAGGGAGCTGCATCAAAGGCTCCAGGCACCCTGGGTCAGGGGCAGCTGATCACAATCATTAGAAGCTGCTAGAGCTTCCTTGGGTCCACACCCTTGTGGCTCCCTTTATCTTGTCCTTGCCCAACAGCAAGGATTGGCAAATATATAGCATGGGGGCTACATATTTCCAGCCTCCATTCCAAATAGGTGGCCTTGAGCAATTGTCTCTGGGAACCAAACTCGGTTCGGCAGCATCCCTCTGGGGAGCTGCCAGGAACAGTCAAGGATCGTCACCCCAGGGGGTGCTTCTGCCTAGAGACTGAGGGGCTTGCAGCCTGCAAACTCCCCAAGAGAAAAAAAAATGGGGTGAAATAGGTGTATGAGGCTGTTTCAAGGGAACGAAAAAAAATTGTTCTACAAGTAAAAGCAGGGGCATTTGGCTAATACTGAAGACCAGACTTCATATCTCGAAGTTCAACCCACAATGCGTGAGTCTGAGAAGGCACCAAAGGCAGCTATAATCAACAGTTCATCTAAGCTTCTCAAGGGTTAGACAGACATGTGGCTAAGAAAATCCTTTGCTAAGTTCATGTATCCTAAGTTACTGCTTTCTCATCTATTGAGGGGTAGGACTTGGAAGTGAGGGCACCTCTGGCATCAGGCCCATACAGACGACTTCATTTCATCCTTAAAGCAGAACTGGGACAGCCTGTGGCAGTCTCACCACTTGGTCTGGCCCGTAAGCAAGATCTTGTTTGGATATTGATGTTATCCACAGTCTTCTATGATTACAAGAACACAACCCCAACATATGACCTCTTCAGCTGATCAGTAGCTCTGGCATAACTTCAATTATACTTACGAGAGTGTTGCCATCAGCTTCCATGAATGGTTTCAAAGCTTAGCGGGAAAGCTGTAAAAAGAGAAAGTTTTGTTTACTTAAGTTCTGTATTATATTTTCATATAACTTAAGTCTTGGCAGTGGAGTAAAAAAACCTGTTAATATACTTTGACCTTCCATTACCCTCCACACTCCACCCACCCCCTCAAAAAAAAAAAAAAAAAAGACGTTTTCCAAAGATTATGCTATATTATGTGAACTGATTTTACTGATTTAGAAGTCAACCAGTGATAAGGAACACTAACTCAAAGCCATCCAAGCTTTTCTATGAAATAAACAGAATAAAGCTCATGGATGTGGTTGGAGGGTTGCTTTTTGTTTGTTTGGGTTGGGTTTTGGTGTTGGGTGGGAGTTTTTGTTTGGGTTTTTTTGGTTTGGTGGGAGGGGGGTGGGGTTTTTTTTTTTAGGAAATGCATCGAGAATAAGTAAAACGGGGAGGGGTGTGTGTTCATTTTGGGTTTTACTTCAAAGAAATCTATAGGAATTTGATTTCTGCTTTAGCTGAGTAATTACCTAATTAGAATTCCCAGAAAACACTGGGAATCTGCTGGCTCTCCTGAACAGGATGAGATCTCATACTGGACTACCCCTTTTACAATGAATTGCAATTTTCCATTCTGGAGAGCAAAATCTGTGCAGTTCAACAGTAGACACTAGGGTTTATTTTCCAAAGACATAAAGTTAGTAAGTTATCCATTTAGGTGACAGTTCAGGTGATTTCATTTGGTATACACAACCAATAGTCAATTTCCTATGTGATTTTCCTTTGGCTGGCAGGATGGACAGATGACAAAAGAATCAGTGCAGTGTACAAGATGAAGGAAAACATACCAACTTTTTAGTGCCAGCAAAGTTCCTATAAAACTCACCCCTCTGCATATGAAAGAATCATTGAGTGAAATGGGAGAGGATATAAGACTGTTGAAGTGAGCAAGAAAGGATTTCCAGAAATAGAGCCACACTTCAGAAGAATTTCTAATAAGAAATTTTTCCTGTTACTAAAACCAGTAATTTAAGATATGTGCCATTCCTCATACATAATATTTGTTTTAGTTTGAAAATAAAATCTTAAAACAGAAAATAAAAACCCACCTACTGGCTTCCAGCAATTTCAAACCAAAAATAGAAAGGCAAACAAATACATATTTTTCTGGCTCCCAACTGTTCCTATTCAAAAATAGAAAGAAGCACTTTCTATAAGTGGCTCAAATTGAAGTAATATCATGATGAGGAGAGATGTTATGGCAAATAATTTCAAGGATGTTTAGAAATCATAGCTAGTATAAACAAGCAGAGGAAACACCTTTAGTTGTACAAGCAAATTAACATTGAGCCTCAAATACCGAGCCAGAAAGCAAGGGAATAACAGACCAAATTATAGTAATTATTGTGACATGTGGCCTTTTTCCTGTCATTTCTTCATTTCATGTGTGCTTTGGGTTTGGGGAGGGTGGGGTGTAATTATGCAAACTGCACAGATTTGAATCAGCCACGGTACCAGGAGCAAGAGGACAAGTGTTAGTTAACTGGCAAGGAAACATTTCCGCCTGCGTGCTTTGTGCCAAAGGAGTTGAATGGATTTCAGCAGAACCTTCTCAGTGACTTTAACTCAAACTTTTCTTTAGTTTCCAGAAACTGGATAAGCAATCTTTGAGCCAGCATCCAATTTTCAAAAGCAGCACTGACTTCTGTTTCATTCTAGTTAAGAGTATAATTTATTATTCCCTGTGTAAAGAAAGTTATTAAAAAAAAAATCACACGTTCACTGCAGAAATAACTCTCATACACATAACCTGAGTTTATTTCTCCTAAGTAAACCCAACCTGAGTAAGATTAGTTGCACTGTGAAATAGCACTAGGATTTTTATGTCCGCTCAAGTGTACTCAACTGTTGCAAAACCAACATTTCAGAAGGGCATAACCTCTTTATCTCTGCACTACAGTAAAGTAAGTGTTTCCTTTCCATTTTCTGCAGGTGCACTGTGGGAAAGCCATCTATCCTTTCTAAACAGCCAGGTGAATTGGGAGAAGGAGCTGGATAAATACGGCCACTCAAGTAGAGCTGGTCTTCCAGCTGAACCTTACTGGATGGTCCAGCATGAATCTGCAGGGGCTGTCTCTGGGAACCATAGCCCCCCACCGCCCCAGTATTCCCCTCCCACAGGCTGCAGTTAGCATCCCCTGCTGAGCTGTGCCCCTCGCGTGCCCTCTCTGGGATGGTAGGTGGTCACACCATGGCAGCCCTGGAGCATGCCCAGGGCTGGCGGTTTTGCTGGCAGAAGAGCTTCCCAGCCCACGAAAGCTGCACCTGAGCTCAGGAGCTTGGCAAGCCAGCGAGAGGTTAGTAGGAGACAACACCTGAGTTCATACCACCAGGAGGGTGTCCCAATTCCTAACTGGGACAGCTGCAGCAGGAGAAGACGTGGCCCAGACCATCTCATTTCACAGCACTCAGGGTGCTATATTACAGACTGGAGACACCCATGTGTCAATCCTTGTCCTGACTTAGGTGGACATTGAATTTGAAGTGGGGTCTCACCCCCAAAGGTGTACCCTAAGCACCAAGGTGAGGATGTGGGATTCCAGCCCTTTTCCTAAGCCTCTCCATTTGCAACAAGATAAGATCTAGGAATAGAAGGAGAGGGAAGCCCTCCAGCCTACAGATTAAGGCACCCACACGGAAAACACGCACCAGGATTGCAGTCTGCTGTGATGGATGTTCAATTCACTAAAATCATAAAGTGGAATAAACCAAAGAGAGAAAATAAAACAAGGCACAGTGAAACCTCTCCCACTTCAGATGGCTTTATAAAGGAGACAACAAACTTGAATCTCTCACTTCCTGGAGGATAAAACGTAATGGATCTACTGGATAAAAGCAAAGGGGATGGATTTACATTATCAGTTTGTAAACCATACCTACGTTTCTTTGGCTTTTCTTAGAGGTGCCCAAAACAACTCATTTAATTTCAGCTTGAATTGAATACAATATATCAAAAGTGGTTTCTGCTAAAAGATTTCTAATTCAAGTTTTTGAGGGTTTTTTATTTTGATTCAACAACTGAACTACAATATAATTTTGCATAGCTTTATTAGTCCCACTTCACTCCTGCTTTTTCAAGAAGAGTAATAAACAAGTAGGTACATGAGTAATAGCTGATGCAACAAATGTGGAAACACAGCAAGTGACTTATCAGAAATATCTTGCAATCATTTCCATTTGACTACATCACCTTTTCCGAAATAAGTAGAAATATCTCTGTTAAAGATCAAAGGCAATGTTAAGGGTGGAAAAAAGGGAAAACAACACTGAGGTTCCAATGATTCTAATTGCAAAAAGCAATCTTAATTCATTAGTAATATTCCTCTTGTGGAAGTCAAAATCCACAAGGCCTGACACTGTCTCTTACCAGTTACAAGCTACAGTGAGCATGTCTATCTGCAATGATATTGGTATAAGCCTGCCAAACATGCCTTCCAGGCATCCCTCAGATGACATCCAGAGTGGGCATATGCCTTCCTGCTTCTGAGCAAAATATTTGAGATATGTAACATGACTCAAACTATTTGTGTTGCAGAAGCACCCAAAATGTGCGTAGCTCAGTTCCTGTTCAGATGGCATTGACACAGACTACTCAAAAAAAAATTCCGCTTTACCAAGCACCAAGTCAGGACTATAAGACAACCTGTAAAATAAGCTTTTTGCCTTCTTTCTATTTACATTTCTCACACTGGTCAGCAGCTTTAACCTCTCTGCTTGCTTTCTGTTTATTTGGCTGCCTGCAACAATCAGCACTTCAATGGGCAATGAATTGACAGGCGATATGAAACTAGGGATAGTGCTACAAAAATCTCCCTAAAAAAAAAATCAATGATTACTTAATCACATATCTCACTTACCAGGCATTAGGAATAGCATTGCCCCAAATCACAGCAGCGCTTGAAGCGCTGTCCTGTGTCCAGGAGACAGCCTTATATAATAGTCCTAAATTATCACATTACCTCTAACTGGGGTTCTTGCAACAATGCAGGGGAAAAATAATCACAGTGACTGTAAGCTCATAATTGTCCTTTGGGTTACTAGAGATCAATTTAATCTGGCAGAAACTTACCATTAACTACTAATTAATCAGATCTAGTCAGTTACTTAAGTGGCTAATTAGCTATCTCAATCAACTATCTTACTTGTACAAGGAGTTTCTTGATCTGCAGATTTTCTCTCATTTACTGGCTCACCAGAAAACTCAGATATTAAGCTGGTGCTGTGCCACGGGGCAATGACAAACAGACATTAAGCCACTTTTCACAAAAGCTCATGGACCGTCCCACCCCGGTTAAGTTATGTCCCACCCACTTTGGTCCCCATGTCTTTATGTTTCCAATTGCAGATGAAACTACAGATTCACCATTAGCATTGGAAACAACCAGTCCATTAAAGCATAATCATAAGTCATAATTGTCAGAGTATACCTTCAGCTTTGACCACAATGGATAAATTTAAGCTTGTTAAATAAAAATTACCCTTTGAAAAGCCAAAAGGGTTCTTATCACAGGCCTAGCAGCAAGAAACTGCTAGGTTTTATAAAACCATTATAATACCATTGCTTATAACCTGAGTTTCAAATGCATTTGAAGTTATTCAAGCCCCTCACCTGCAAGCAATTCAAAAAGACAACTTCTGACTCCATTTGGGAGAGGGCCAAGAAAAACTGGAACCAAGTTCACTGCCCCCGTCGTGGAGACAGAAAGGGTCTGGAGACATTGCCCTGCTTGGATCACGGCCAGGTCCTGTCAGTCCAACGAGGAAGCCCAAGAGCAACAGGCTGCAGGCGTTGACAGCTCTGAGCAAGCAGTTGCAGGAGCCCACGCTCACCGCCTTCAGGAGGAGAGGGGCTGCAAAGAAAGAAGAGGTTTAGAAAAAGAGAGGTGCTCCAGCTGCCTCTGTGGCCTCACAGACAAAAGTAAGAAATCAAAATGGCATGCTT